TAAACTTCATTTCTCTCAGTATTTTCAATGACTGTGTGGTTTCTAATCATCATCAGACCTAGGATGGAACAGTGGAGCCACTGAAGATCTCCAGAACCAGCACAGATGTATACACACACACACACACACACACTACTCCCAAACTCTGGAATCCTGAAGGCCCTTAGTTCTCAAAGTCTGACTATTTTTTCTAAATGTGCTTTGTTTTAATTTTACAGATTCCAAGCAGGGAACAATAGAACTCCTCGGAGGCCTGGCTCACATCTAGCGTGGGACCAAGAGAGGAGAGGAGGATGGAAACCACCTTTGGTTCTAAAGGACAACAAAAGCCAATCTTCGTAACATCTGAATTCAATGAATTCCCACAAACGAATATGCGTCTTAGTCTGGCTGCAGTCTTCTAGGGGCTTGTTTCAATGAGGAGGGCTGTTTGGAGATGCTTTGACGTTATTTAGTTTGACTTTCATTTTAGCCCGGGGGGGAAGCATAGATGCAGCATAGGAAGGAGGATATGAGGCAAAGACAGCACACCTGCAGCTTGGACAGGACCTGTGTCTTCCGAGGCTAACCCAATGCTGTTTCTGATACTGACAGTTTAGCCCTGTTAGCACCCAGGGATATGGAAAGTGATGGAGATCACCCTGCTGACTGTCACCTACCACAGTTTCATCATCTCATTCAGTTGTGAATCCATAAAAGTGGTCATAGGAATAGTTATAGGAACATGTACATGAAACAGGCCATGGGTACTTGACTCCATGGGAGTCTTGATGAGAAGCTAAGAAAATGCCCTGTCTAGAAAGATTCTTGTACCCAGGAAGAACACTGCATTCCAGATGGTTCTGTCCGGGAGACTACACAAGTGCATATGCACACATGCACACACACACACACACACACACACACGCACGCACGCACGCATGCACGCACACGCACACATTTCAGAAGTTCTTTGACTTTTATAGCCTAACCAATAACCACAGGCTGAGGCATAAGAATCTCAAGTTGAAGATCATCCTGAGCTTCGCAGTGAGCTCCTGGACAATCTGGCCTACATAGTGAGACACTGTCAAGATAAACGTAAGAGGGCTGGAGAGGTGGCTCAGCAGCTAAGAGCACCCAGGGTCAGTTCTTAGCACCCACAAGACAGCTCACAACTACCTCTAACTGTAGTTCCTGGGGATCTGATGCTCTTCTCTGACCACCACAGGCACTGCATGCATATGATGCACGGACACACAGGACAACAAAACACATATACATATTTTTTCAAGTAGAATACCACACAGCCACCAAAGCTTAAGTATATATTTGTTCTATTCTTTAGTTCTATAATCTTTTATGCATATACAGATATACATATATTTAATTTTTGTTTCATCTCTCTTACTTCAATGAGAAGACTTGAAATATAGACCCACAGTGCACACAGGAAATGGACTGAGTCACACATCTGACACTAACCGTGCAGTCAACACAAAGCAATCTTTACATACAGCTGAGAAACCTGACCTGTTCCTTGTACACAGGAATAGTCTGCTTAGGAGCAGGCTTCTCCTGGCTTTTCTTTCCATTTGAATCACAGAGCACAGACTCAAACTCTGTCACTTCTAAATGACAAGTGCTACACTCACTGGCTTGTCATCAATGTCTAAGCAACACTGTGTGGAGCTTCCTTGGCATCTTCTCTCACCATGTCCTCATTGTAAATCAGAGAGCAGTTGCCACAAGGGTGTATCTGCAAGCCTCTGCTGGCCTCCCTGTATAGCACTCCAGCCACCGTTTGGAAGGTGTTGATGCTCCCTTGATGGGTGACAGTCCGATAAAATTGCTACACTCTGAATTAGAGCCAGGACAGCGCCCTGTATAGCATGTGAAGACAGAAAGAAAGAGCATCGCTGACTGTCCACTTCCCATAGTGATTCTGCTCTTGTGTGGCCCTGAGAAATAGATACCTGTTTTGGCATCGGTCTTCATTGGAAAGCCTTTGAGCAATGCCTTTGGGAGCTTGCCAGTGGTACTTGGGGGATGTATCATTCCTAATTGCATGTACACTAGTAGCCAGATTAATTTCTGTAGATAAAGTGAAAGCATTCCGTTGCCTTGCTGTGCCCAATCGCTTCCTGATACCATTAAATCAAGCCTGGTTCTGCACCAGGAAAATATTAATTCTGAAGCTGTTTACACCCATCACTGCATATCTTTAAGAAAGTTTGCTGTAGAACTGACCAAATATAGCATTAATGTTCAGATACCATTTAGTAAGTACAAATTAACTGAAATTAACTGGATTAGATCACACTCAGCACAATTATAAAAAGGATTCGAATTTTAATACATTAGCCCCAGAACACACTGTACAAGCACCAGGAAAATTGCAGTTGTCAACGTGTGAATTTAGACTCAGGGTAAGTTCATCTAAGGAAGTGAAATCTCAATTTAGATTTTTTTTCTTTAGTCCACTCTCCTTCCCCTCTCCTGTGCCCACGTGTTTCTCCTGGAATGGGGGAGGACACGTTACACAGTAAATGTGTCTCACACAGAGAACTGGGCAGGGTATATTTATCAGGAAAAAGCAAATGAGGAGCTCAACAAAATGGTTTGTAGAGCTCTTTCATATGTCAAAAGATGTGAGTGTGTGTGGACTTGTATATGTGCATGCATACATGTGTGTTCATGTCTGTGTGAATGTATGTGAGCACATGCACACTTGTGTTTTCTTTTAAAATATTTTTATTTATTTATTTATATTTTTTACACACAGTGGTATTTTGCTTGCATGTATGTCTATACACCATGTATGTCCCTGTTGCCCCTGGAGGACAGAGGACTATATTGGGCTTCCCAGAACTGAAGTTACAGATGGTTGTAAGCCATGATGTTACTGCTGGGAGTCAAACTTCAGGTCCTCTGAAAAAGGAGTCAGTGCTTTTGACCACAGGGCCAGCTCTCCAGACCTCACTTGTCTTTTCTTCAGCAAGTCTGGGATAAGGCCAAGGAAGAAACCTTCTACTGAGCTACACCCTCACATGTCTCTTGATAATGAGGGCAATCAGTAAGACTGTTTAACGGCAGCTTTCTACTGTACCTCACAGGAAATCTTTTTGCCTGTGGGTGGCTGAAGCCCCAAGGCTGACAGCATCTCCTGACCACATCAGCAGCAGGGACCAGGCAGCTGCGTGGTTCCTCAGGATGGGCGAGGCGAGAGAAGTGGGCAGAAGTCAGCTTGACAGCCAGATAAAAGGAATGGAGGCCTTGCAAACCAGCAGTAGAAGGTAAGCTGCACTCCAGTTCAAACCCGACAGGCTGTTCTCCATATCAGAGCAGCGAGTGGGCCTCATTTCAGAGCACATCTGTTTCCCCAGATCATTCTATCAAAAGCAGCTATTTTCTGTAAATTGAAAGTCAAGGCCATTTATTTTTCTCAAAACTTGTGCTGTCAGCTCTGTGTTCTGACTGGAAACATTTGCTTGCTCCACACAATGGCAAAGCCGCTTTATTCTAAAGCAAAACAAAAAACAAAACACACACGAAAAAACAAAAAAAAACAAAACAAAACCAAAAAAACAAAACGGTGGGCTCTCTCTTCCCTGAGCATGTCTTGTGAGTGATACATTTACATAAATCCTTGTCCCAAGAGGACATGAATATCAGTTATGAAGATGGAATATATTTGGAGAAAATTTATCTGGAGGGAAAGAGATGCCAAAGTACTCCTCCAGTTAGGATCTCGTGCCAAAATAAATCTTGTCATGCGGCATCTTCATGCCATTTCTATGTACTTCCATTGAGTGCGTTAAGTTCTTGTGAGGGTGGGCAATTACTGTTGCCCAAATTCCCTATGTCATGAATTAGTAAATGTTTAAGTGCATATCATTGCTTTTATACATGGATATGCACATATATGTATCCTGTGCTGCTTAATGGTGAGGGGTATGTTTTGTGAAGGGCATGCTTAGGTGAGCTGTGTGGTAGGCGCATCACATAATCTAGTTAATAAGATGGAATTGTTTGCTATGCTGTGGCTAGGCTGTGCCTGAGCACTGTCCTGGCATGGGACTCCACTGTGTCTGTGATCACTGAAGCAATGTCTCTGTGTGGTCCATCATTACATCATCACAATGTGAGTATGAAGCTGAGGCTTCTGGGTGAGACCAGGACAGGGCAACACCTGCCATTGTCTAAAGCATTTCAGGAAGCCAACCTACTTTGTCAATGTAGCAACAACCAATTCACTCATTATTTCAAAAGATGGGATTTGAAGTGTCAGTAAGGTTGTAACAGTCCCCTAATTGGATTAAAAGTAGAATTATCAAGGCAGGATGCCCTTAACAATTATTTTACCTGGAATGCTATACAATTCTGAAATGATTCCCAGTAACCCCAAATAAATCATTCTGAGAAATCATAGCCTTTTACATTAATGTCCTCATTTATAAGTCCCTCTCTTTATCAACTGACCCCTCTTCCTTATCAATCACCAAGGGTCACATTTAGTTCATTAATGGAAGGAAGCTACCACCCTGACACTTCACAGACGTTTATGACACATAAATTCCTACGTACTTCAGGGAGAAAGGATACCAAACCATTTTCTCAGGAATTAGAGGAAGCCACATAAAAGCTGAGTCTAGAAGCCTACTCAGTAATTTTATGATTACAAATCCTCCCCTATAAATTTTTTTTTAGGAAAATACGTAATTAAAAGTGTAGAAATCCACACCATGGCTCTCTGTAAAGCATCATTTTAGTTATTAAATGGCTATAAATTAGCCATTAGGATATATTCTTCCAAATGGATTAACCTTTTCAATTATCATTTCATCTGTTTTCTATATTTAAAAAAAAATCAAAGAAATTCAAGATACAGGAGAGACAAGGCAGTAGAGGATCTGAAACTGATTTGGTGGCTTTGGAGTTGACATAATCTTGGCCTGGTGCAGTTCATTTTGAAAAGCTGCCTCGAATTTCCCCTGGTTTTGAACTTTTTTTTTTCTTACCACTTTCATCTAGCAAGAAATCATCCTGGTAACGGAACTTCTCTGGTCCACATGCAATAAAAATGTCATCGTCACCAAAAAAGTCCTGAAGGCACATCACCTACAAGAGAAAAGCATAGTACTCAGCCAGGGGTCCACACAACAGGGATCACAACACCACCTCCCCCCTCCCACATAGGCCTCTACATAAAGCCATTTTCCTCTAATGGAATCAACAGGGGGATTTCAAAGGCTTGGCTGTGCATCTGTTATCAGTAAGGAACGAGTTAGTCTCAGGTCTGCAGGAAGGCAGAGAAGGCGACTGGGCGGGTAACTGTCACATTTATGACTGGAAACATCAACAGGCTATGAGGTAAGAGCTCTTTGTTTCCATAACACTGGGGATCTGGCTACTTGGACCCTGGAGACCCCCAGCTTCTGAATGTAAGTTCCAAAAGGAAGGAGAGCCAGTGCACGGTTTTAACTGCCAACATGCTTTTGTTGGTAATCGACAACCACTGAGAAAAATAGTATATTATAATAACTCCTAGGCCCATTCCATCTCTAGTTGAAATAAACTGAAACCCTTATAAGAGGAAGAGTTGGGAAAGAAGTTTTAGGTGAGGTTTGGATATGAACACTAGAAAAACTATATCCCTCTCTCAAGCAGCATCAAACGCTAAACCTCTCAGCATCCCACACCCTCAGTACTGGGATCAAGTGCAAGGCTTTGTATACATTAGACTGACACTCAGCCACTGAGTTATGCGTCTACCTCTTGTTAGTTTGTTTGGCCCAGAGTTTCACTCCTTAGCTCAGCCTAGCCTTGAACAGTCTGTCTTCCTGTGTCAGCCTTCCCAGTGCTGAGATTGTAGCCTGGGGCTATCATGACATTCTTTTCCCCACCTTCACATCGTTGGGTGAAAGAAAATTTTAAACTAGACATATTTTCACGTGTCTTCTAAGCATGAAGAGGCAGAGTGTGAAGGACCACCAGTTTGACTTCCAGGCCAGTCTGAATACCACAGTGACATTCTGTCTAAAAAACAGTTACAAGGACTTGACGCTGTGTATTGCCAAATGAGAACTTGAAGGGAAATGTCACTTTGCAGTGAACTGTGGCCAGCATGACTCATTTTCAAGCTTAAAGATGTTCCTACAATGGTTTGCTCATAGCATGGGTTATGCTAATGGTAGAATGAATGCTGCTGAATTCTATCCATTCCCAATTTCCTTTCATCATGGGGGAGAATCATAAGAATCTAGTTTGCTTCTCTATGGCTGTAAAACAGTGCTCAAAAGCAACTTGGAGGAAACAGGCTTTATTTATTTGGCTTGCACATTGTAGTTCATCATCAAGGGGTGGCAAGGCAGGAGCTTGGAGGCAGGAACTGAGACAGAGACTGTGGAAGAATCCTGTTTACATGTTTGCTCCAAGGCTCATGTTAGCTACCTTTCTTATATAGTCCAGGTCCACCTAAGGATGGCACTTCCCACAGTGGGCTGTGTCTGACTATATCCATTATCAATCAAGAAATTGCCTTGTTATCATGCCCTCGGGCCAAGCTGATGGAGGTGATTCTTCAACTGAGGTTCCCTCTTACTACGCATATCTAGTTGACAACAAAACTCACCAGGGCAGAGCTGTATAAAATAGCCTTCTGAACTGCGTTTTCCTCCAGGTGTGGGGACTGAGATGCTGATGCCCGTGGTCATCGTTAGCATCTCCCTCATCTGTAATTAGGCTATGGGTGCCTCTGGGGTTTTGTGTCTTTGTCAGTCTCTGGTAGCATTACTATGTTTATCACATAGGCTGTGAGTTGGGTGACTATAGTGTTCTTTGCTGCCCCAGGTGCAATGGCATATGGGGTACCGGGGATCTCTCAAGAGTCTCATTTTTATATAATGGCTTGGCAGTAATTTTTTAGGGGAAATTTCTCTAAGGGTTTGATGATCAACATTAAATATGAATCAGATGCATCCATGCCTGTAATGGTGTTTTTCCCTCTGCCATTTAAATCTTGAGAGCATGGATGGCAGAACTTGTCCTCTGCATCACTCTTCTTTCCCTCTCATTCCAAAGCTGACTGCACTTGCTTTGACATCTCAGCTTTCGATATGGGTATTGGTACCATCTAGCCAACCATTTACAAAGCACACCCCCTTTTTTATACATACTTTTTTTAAAAAAATGAATGCATGGTAGATGTAAAATATCTCATGGTACAAACATACAAAAATGAGTAAGACATGGGCTCTTGCACAGACAAAACAGAACACTAGTCCCCAAGGCACAGTATTCCCTTAAAGAGAGGGTGGTGGATTGAGCCTGTGCAACTGTATGTCCTATGTCCCAGTGCCATGTGGAGTTTATACAGTATGACAGATTCAAAGCCTTGTTCCAAGCCCAAAGAGACAAGAGGGAAAACCAACATTCCTCAGTCTGAATCTAGAACCATTTCTTCCATGGCAGCATACATACAGTGTTCCTTAGCACACTCCTTTTGGAATTAGTGTGGACAGACACAGGTAAAAGATCCTAGAAATCAGGATCTTGGCACACACCTACAATGACAGTGCTTGAGAGGCTACGGCAAGGAGATTTTGAGTTTGAGACCAGCCTGGGCTGCACAGTGAGATGTAGTCTCAAAGTACCATGAGCCAACAAAAACGTAGAACAAAAATGTAGGGATGCACAGGGAAGGGTGATGGGCCTACCACGCACCAATACTATGATTTATTTTTTTCAAATATCTGGTTGAGGGCTAAGGAAATATAGTTCAGTGTATAAAGTTCTTGATACACAAGCACAAGGACCCAAGTTTAAAGGAAAGTTACAGTAGAACACTTGTAATTCCAATGTTGGGTAAGCAGAGATATGTAGAGCCTAATTGATAAGCTTGGAAACAAGATAGAGGATGTCCAAGGAGAAATGGTACCCAGGGTTACTCTCTGTACATGTATCTGTGTATGTACAAAAGATACTCATACATACATACACAAAATTTCATATAGATCAAAAATGTTGTTTTCTAAATTTGATACGTCTTCCTTCCTACATACTCTACCATTTTCATTACAGGATATCGGGTGACTACTCAACCACATTCAACTGTGTATGCATGTTCTTGTTAAGTGGGTAGATAACTAGCGAGACCACAACGTGTTATAAGTAGGTTGCAGCCAACGGGATTCCACCATTCTGATGGTGACTGTTCTCCAAGCTTTCAGCTCAAAGAACACAGAAGACAACAAATGATCCATCTTGGACAGTTTAAGCACAATCCTGTTGGCAAGTGAGAGATGAAACGTGATGAACTTTTGATGTTCCTTCCAACACTAGGATTCCAAGAATATGAAAAGAACACAGTGGTTGCTAAAGAAATTGCCTGTCATCGCACAGCAGAGAAGACATGGGAAAGAGTCATTCCGATGTCAAGTAACATGTACTCATTTACCACTCAAGCTTCGGTGGATGGAGGCAGTGGAAGTGCAGAACTGTCTGACACTCCAGGGCTTTCTGCTGTGCATCATTTTGCCTCTTTTTTGCTTACAACATCCCACTAGAAAATGGCAGTAAGCTCTGTAGATGAAATTTAAAAACAATGCCATTCCTTGTGAGAAGCTCTGACAAAAGGTGGAGGGCAAAGGAGGTTTAGATGAAAGGTGGATTGGGACAAAATTGGAAGGCTTCAGTTATCCACAGTCTCTTACTCCATCACTGATTGAGAGGCCACTGAAATGTAGAAGAGTAATAGGGGTAGTTTATACCCCCATTTTTTCCTTGGAAAATGCAGTATGGGAATTTTCCTTGAGGTATTTCTGAACAATCTGGCATCAAGGAGTTATAGAAAGCAGAGAAATGTAGAACGAGATTTGCATAATACTCTGGTCTTATATCTATTAAGTGTTAATCATTTGAAAACTTAATGTACTCAAAACTCAGCTTGGTTACCAGCTCTACAACAAGTTACGTTTATGGGTAAAGGACATGTTTCACGCTACAGGGGACCGCAAAATGCACAGGTTGCTTATGATTATCAAATGTGCTAAAAGAAAAACAAAGCCCTTGAGCGTGCTGATGAGAGCTAGTGACCAGGGATTAGGATATCTGGTTTCCCTTTTAGTTTTTGTTACTTGGCACAGCTACAGTCATCTGGGAAGATGAATCTCAATGGAGGAGACACCTCCACGGCCTGTCTGATGGTAGGTAAGTCTATGCTGCACTTTCTTGATGAATAATTAATATGGGAGGCACCCTGTAGTTATTGCCCCCAGGTGGCCCTCTGGTGTATTAGAGAGCTGGCTGAGCAAGCCATGAGGCCAAGCCAGTGAACAGCACTCCTCCACAGTCTTTGCCTCAGTTCTCCCTTCAGCTTCCCTCGGTGACAGACTATGATCTAGGATTTGTAAGATTAAATAAGTCCTTTCCTCTCCAAACTGGCTTTGGCCAGTGTTTCACCATAGCAACAGAAAGCAAAACAAAGTTGTAAGCTCACTTGCTATTAGAAACTTGGAGGCATTAATTGTCTTATCAGAGTCTGCATTGCTTTTAATATGTTGTACCTGATAATTAAGTGTGTGTGTGTGTGTGTGTGTGTGTGTGTGTGTGTGTGTTTGCTGTAGCATCATAAGCCACTGCCCTTGCTTCTGTTTGGGCTGGTGCTGTGGGCTGGTGTGCTGTCTCCTGTATGTTAGGCAAGTGCCCACCCAGCTTCACATTCAATCTTTCCCACAGTGAAGGAGCCAGACTGACCAGTGCTAGATATCTGGCTGCTATAGCTTGAACTGAAATTGCATCTGTTCTAGTTAGGGTTTCTATTGCTGTGATCAAACACCAGGACCAAAAGCAACTTGGTGGTATTTCACTCACAGTTCAGTATGACATCATCATCAAAAGTAATGAAGGCAGGCACTTGAACAGGGCAGGAGCTAATGTAGAGGCCATTGAGGGCTGTTGCTAACCGGCTTGTTCCCCGTGGTTTGCTCAGCCTGCTTTCTTATAAAATCCGGGACCACCAGCCCAGGGGTAGCACCATTACAGTAGACTGGGTCTTCCCACATCTATCACCAAATAAGAAAATGCCCTACAGGTTTGCCTGCAGCTCTATTTGACCCTTT